TGTGTGTGTGTGTGTGTGTGTGTGTGTGTGTGTGTGCCCTTGTTTTTTGCTACTTGATGGGAATGGTTTTTCAGGAAAATGCAGCCTCTTGGGGACCGGATGCTCCTTTTGGGGAACAAAGCCTGGTCCCTTCAGAGGCTGATTTTGGGTGGTGGGGTTAGTTTTAGGACCAAGGTGTGAATTGAGTTTAGGTTAGTTTTAGGGCCTGTGAGGTTAACTTTAGGGTAAATGGTCAGGGTTAAGATATAAAATTACCAAAAAATGAATGGAAGTGAATGGAAAGTCCCCACAAGTATTGAGAGACATAGTAGGTGTGTGTGTGTGTGGATCAGCAGCTGCATCAGTGTATTTACACTTGATTATTTTTTCTTAGCATTATTTATTGGTAACCATTGTGCTAAATACACAGAATTTAGTGAAAATCAAAGTTTTTTTTAATTATAAAAATAAAACTCAGACTTTTGACAAAATGTGTAAACTCTTATTTTGAAGTTACTGATAATGAAGTTAAGAACATTTTACATTATTGGGATGGTTTATTAGAGATGTGGATAAAATTTTAATCCCAGAATAATATCAAATCTGATGATGGATTCAAAAAGAAAATTAAAGCTTCAAAATTAAAAAATTAAAAACAAAAGTTTTTAATGTTATTAAAATAACATGAAAACTACGGGATTATCTAAATCATGAAGGAAGTTCTGTAAGTTTGTTTAGATGAAATCAAGCTCATGAACTGAGGTTTTGCTCTTAACTTCCTCAGTGTTCAAGATATTTCCATGAAATTCCAGAAAAATGTCCACATTTTACAATTTGTTGGAATAAAAACAAAATCTAATGTAAAAGTAGCAGAAAAAAGTAAAATAAAGTTACAAGGCTCAAATCTTCTTAGGCCCTGTCCCACATTCTCCACATCCGCCCGTCGCCCCGCCCATTTTGGGTACTATTTCCACCCTTACAAAAAGAATATACTAGGAAAAATAAACTTTATTATCGGGGCAGAGCTCCAACAACAGCATACTCGCATTAAAAAATGTATCTAAAATATACATAAAATGGACTGCTAAAAGCAACTGTTAATGTTAAATAAAATCTTATTTTAAYGCATTCAAAGTGGATACTGCAAGCAGAATAAATGACTTTTTGGTCATTGGTTGCATCGTACTCGACTCCAGGAGAATCAGTTATTTTGAGRGGTTCATTAAAATGTGGTTTAAGATATTTTGCTAACAGACACAAGCTATGATATTACTGATGGCCTTTTATACCATTAAAAGGATCAGAGAAAACCTGACTCTTATCACAGAAGCAGGCTGATTTTTTTCACTGTTAATTTCAAAATAAAAGTTTTTTCTTTTGCTTTATTTTCTCAAACCTTTGCAGTGTCTCGTGAACAGAAGCTCAAAGTCTGTGTTCCACATTTTCTTCTTTTCTTACTGGATGAATTAAAAAAAAACAAGAGGTTCAGATAAAACACAGTATCTTAGTTTTAGCTCCAGTTTGACAGATTCAACCTGTCAGTTGAAAATTGCTTTTCTTCCCCTCAGTGGTAGACAAATAACACACATATTACCCTGAGCTCATGTGTTCTGATTTTACTGTAAACTAAAAAAATACATTATTTTCTAATTGATTTGATTTGATTTATTGATTCAACAGGAAAAGATTACTAAAAANGTGATGTATTTTAAATAAAAGTTGGCATAAATTCCCTTTAAGACGACACCAAACTCTGCGCCCAGTTGAGTTCAGCCTCAGACTGGTTAATGTGTMGGAGCAGCAGCAGCTGCAGACAATTAGCTGATTGCAGCTCCTGTCAGCTCCTCCTCACTTTGCTGCCTTTCTTTGTGGAAACTTTAAAGCCTGGCAACATTAAAGCTCTTCTACAGGTAATAAATATGACTTTTTTTAAAAAATAAACTTTAGTTTAACTTCAATAGGCCCGTCTCTGCTTTCAAAGTTTTAAATAATTTCAAATGTGTTTTGGTTGATGTTTATGGAACACAGTGAGAAAATGTAAAAGGTTTGTGGTTATTGCTAAAATGATTATTAACTATAAAACTGTCTATAAACTAATGCATATTACCCACCACACAAAACTTTACAGAGTTAGAACCATGTCTGTGTTTACTAAATTTAACCAGCTGTGGCGGCCATCTTGAATTGCACTGACTCCAAACATGAATCAGTTGTAGATGCRCACCCAGTCATTACTGTCTGACAGTTTCATTYAAATCCATCAACCGGTGCAGGAATTATTTTGCTAACAGATGCTACAGCTCCAACCTCAACATTTAATATCAGAGTTTRAAAAAAAGATCATGTGGAATCTGTTAGTCCTTACAAAACAAGTTGAAGAGAACTCAAAGTAATGACCACACCAAACTGTAGCCAATATTTGTAAAGAATTAGAGTTGTTATCGCCCTTTTTTGTGTACACTACTGAATTGGCTGTGGCAGCCATCTTGAATTGTGTTGACTTTAAAAGTTAATCAGTTGTTTATGTGTATCTTWTGATTATGTTCTGAGAGTTTCATTAAAATCTGCCCAGTGGTTCTCAASATATTTTGCTAACAGACAGGCACACACACAAACACATGGCTACAGGTGATTAAAAAAGCAGAAAATTTGAGCAATTTTCAGTTCCTCCTGCAGATTTAATCCTTAATAAACTATTTTGTGTCAATAAGGACCTTATTGATCATAAAATACTAATATATTCTGTTTCTTCAGTCAGGGGGATGCACCTCTGCACCGGTGCTTCCATAAAGGAATCCCATCAAGGTAAGGTTTCCTTCAGTCTCTGACTTGTCTTCAGTCAATAAAAGGATGAAACGCTTTATTTTTWAAAAAATATCTAAAAGCAACAAAATGCTTCTGCTAACGTACGCAAACAGACTAACAATTATCAGTTTTCACTAAAGTTTTAAGTAGTAATGTTGAGTTGATTTAGAAACATTAAAAATGTAACGGAGCTGGTGGAGATGGAGAGAAACCTCCTGAAGGACGGAGAGGAGAGAAGCTGTGAGTGACAGGAGYGATGACGAGCAGGAGGCTGAGGCAGGGAGAGGGAGGATGACAGATTTTACGACGGTCTCCTGTAACACAGCAATAATAACRGGCCTGCAGACACGAGGAGAAAATGGTTTTCTAAGACGGCTCATCAAACATAATTAAAAGTTCGTAGGGGAAGCAGAGATTTGAAAACCTTTTTTTTATTTTGTGCTTTAAARTCTGAACACACTGGAACAAACAAAAGATGGTTGAGTGAAGGAGATTTTAACGGATCCTTGATTACTTTAACATTAGACTTTATTTGATAAACATTTATTTTAACTGTAAAATAAAGACTGTAAAAATACTGTAGGATGTTTTAGTTTTTATCATTTTTAAAC